CTCTGGCTCGTTCATATCTTCCCGGGCTTGCCAAAAGAACGGCTCTTCCAAAGGTCCTGGTACTTCGTTGCTGTTGTCCCTCAGGCTGACCTCCATGTACATCAAACCTACCTACACTCCAACGATCTGCACTCCACTGCTCTTCATCTCCAAACACCATTTATACAAAGCGGCCGGCCCGTCTATGACCCCACAAGGCTCTGTTTCCATTCAACTCACCCTTCCTGCCCTTGCACTCTCTTGGCCTCGATCTTTGACCCCCAGGTCTTCAAAAAGCGGCCGCGGCCAGAAAAGGCTGAATCGTCTTACACCTTGTTCTTCCATATCTGCCTCGCCAGGTCTTGATGCCTTCTTGAAGTTTCTTGTTCTCTGGTCATAAATGTGCCATTATCAGTCTCGGTTTGAATCTTGAACTTGCAGCCACAGCATCAACAGCTCCCCACCACTCACAGACGCAACCATTTCTGTCATTCAGCCCCGCCTATACCATAAACCAACCGATTTGGACTGCGATTGTCCAATCCCCCAACTTGATACCCACATGATCATGGTCGAGCAGCAGTATATTGCCCCAGGTCTAACCCAGCCGGATGGTCTTTCGGGAGCTCCCAGTTTACACGACTCAATTCCAACTGAGACTTCCCCTTACCACGATCTGACATCCTACTCATCTGTAAGTCGAACTTCGTCCGGAGTGGACGTGAACTTGGCAGAGTCTTTTAAAGCGCTGTTATAGATCCGAAGCTCTGGCCCCAATGGTCCTTTTGTAAAACTGACGCTTGTTCTTGCAGGTTTCTTCACCTTTCAACAGCATTTCTGGCCAGTGCGATCCAAATCTCTTAACCCCCATCTCAGTCGTGGGATCTCCTCCTTTGCACGGCGTGTCAAAAATTGCATCGCAATATCCTCCGCCTCCAAGCACACCTAATCAACACCCTAGCCCCCCTGGGAGTTCCAGAATGTATCATCAGCAGCAGCAGTGGGCAGGACAATTTGACGTTAATAGCCAATCCCCACAAGCGAGTTCGCCCATGACCTCTCAAGCCCCGGTCGCTGGAGGGGAATTCCTTCATGCCAATTATGTCCACGATGGACGTCGAACCCCCGGACCCCCAGAGCCCTATATGGGAGCCTTTGGTGTCTCAAATGGACCGGAACCACAACCTATGAGTAACCCTTATTACGTCAATATGGCGCCTCCTGTTGAGCACCAAGACCACATGATGATGAGGGACAACCATCATATTCCAATGGGCATGCATCATCGCGAAATGGCGCCTGCTCCTCTCCTGGCCGAGCATCATGCACCTCAGTACCGCCGAAGAAGTCCAGAAGATACAGGACTGCACGGATTACCTTCAGATGTTCCACGCTCCATGACTGGATCCCCTCGTCGAAAATCTGCCCTACACGCCCCTGGCCGCGTCAAAAAGCGCACAACCAAGAGGCCAGGAGCCTCTAGAAGTGCAGCTGCTGAAGAGCCTGTAGACGAGCACAAGAATTGCTTTGGAGAAGAGGTCCCACCAACACTCAAGAGTACCTGTCCCGATGAGGAGCGCTGCATATTCGAATCTCGTTGGGAGCACCGCAACCAAAAGGGTCAGGATATGTGGGAGAGCATCCAGAGCGACTATAAGAGTCGTTTCCAGAAGTGCCCCGGTAAGGAAATGCTTCAGATGAAATTCAAACGAGGACGATCCAAGTACATTGACTGGTTGACCAGAGATGTAAGTCATTCTGGTTTCAGAACTTGGAGAGCTTTGCTAACTGTTCTTAGGAGGACTTGCTTCGGGAGGCTTTCAAGATCGTCGAGAAAAATCGCTACCAGATGATTCTTGACACCTTCCACGAATTAGGGGGTTCCCGAAATATGCGATTGAACGCCAGCGACATAGAAGTCAAAGTCGTCAACGATCTAAAGCTTGAGGAGGGAATTTACATGGAGTCCTATGGGGATCTCAACATCAGAAGACGACGCAGATCGGTTCAACCAAGGAAGCGCACTGGACGCGGTGACGAACACGACGAGATGATGAGCGTTGGATCCCACAACACTCATGAAGATGAGGTTATTAACCAGGTGCATGGCCTTCCCAATATCAAGATGGAAGAAGATGGCCCTGGAGGCCACATGATGAGCGCACATATGTGGGACCAACAAATGAAGATGGAACCGGGAGCAATGCCACCACAAAACGATCGCATGCAACCCTTGATGAGGTTGAGCCCAACACAGACGATGTATGGAGGACGCAGAGGGTCGTGAAACGAAAACCCTTCTGACTTGTTTTCGGGAATGGCATTATAGACAACTTCATCTTCCCAACGAAGAGCCCCTCATTTTTTTGTATTTTCCATATAAGAGTCCCTCCATATACCCCAAGGAATTGTTCAAGATAGAGCTTCGTGAAGATCCCGGCATCTTTGCACAAGAAAGAATTCCGCGCCGTGCCACGTCTCCCCAATACTTTTGTAGAATGTATTTATGTCTTGTATGCTGCTGAAGATATTGCCAAGTTTGAGAGGTAATTGTGTGGGCGAGCGGGAAGTCAAGTGACTTGAGTGGCTTCACACAGAATCTGGGGTCAAACTTTTGAGACAATATCTGGTTGGGTACTCTTAAGATTGGCGATTTTGGAATTGGCAATATGGCGTGTTTCGCTGCCACGAAAGCAAGGGGGGAATGCGAAAGACCTGGAAAGACTGAGAAAGGGGGCGGAGCGTGAGTGAGACAACACATAGCTCGTATTGACAAACTTGGTCTTGTGTAGACCCGACAGTTTGGAAAATTGCGCTTCAAGTAAATTTGATTCTCGCTGTAACTTGCAGGTAACTGGGTTCAGGTTGGCAAGGATTCAGGGTGCCCTCGGAAGCCGGGAGGGTGTCGAGACAAGCTTGACGGGGCCCCCTTGAGCCTAAGCTAGTGGCCCCGTTAGCGGACACCCTCAACCTAGCCGCCAGGGATCCAGGTTTCTAGCCCCCCCGATGCAGATCACGCCGTTTGACAGTTCGGCAATGTCAAGCCTCAGACGAGACCAATAACTGGCTGATGGCCTGCCTTTGCTTGACCGCCGCAGTCGAAAATAGAATGGAAAATGGCAGTGAAATTATTGTAGAGTTGTATCTTGAGAGAATAGAAACCCAGGAGAGATTCTTCCCAAAAATGGCAGAAGTCAAACCACTCGGAGCTGTGACAGTAGAAGCAAGCGGGTCTTGAGGGAAGTATGTCAAGAATGGGAGGACGAAGCTCTCCATTTCAGAATGGGAAGGCTTGTCAAGGCAGCAAACCCCGATTTTTCAGCTGTTCTGATTCGATATTCCGACCTGCTAATTAAGGATATGGATGACCTGGCTCCTTGACAAGACTCTAGGGACTCAAAGAAACATGGTGAGGGTACTTCCACGTTTCCATTGTTGGAAGGACCAGCGATTGTTCAGCATGACACTCCAGCAGATTATATTGCACTCTGAAAAAGAGCCGAGTAAGAACTTAGCAGTGGTTGAACTGCGCTGTGGCAGTAGAACAACACAATGTCGTTGAGTTGCAATAGGAAGCTCTGTAAATTGCTGTTTCTGGGTTCTTACTTGAACAGTAGAGTCATGCCGTAGGGACTGCATGGTGGAGACGGAACTTTGCAGCAGTGTTGCCAGACTAGAAGCAAGGTAATTTGAGAGAGAATGCAGCTGAATGTTCATGTCGGACTTCGCTCTCATCGCATCTCCAGGGTCTTTGGCTTGCTATAGTAACCAGATATAGCTTAGGTCAAGACTCAGCGGAAACGAAGATCCCGATGACGCGCTAGGAGTTACTAGCAGTCCGCGTGGCTTGCTGTTAACAATGAATCTATCCTGTAGCAGAGGATCCTCAAAGGAACTCAAGTGGGGACTGATCTGATTCTGTTTCCCTTAGCACAGACAGGACAGGCGTATGTTTCGATCCCTAGGCGCCTTGAGTATTGAGGGCCAGAAAGTTCACCAGCGAGTGATCACGGACGAAGGGGGCCAACGCCAGCCAAACCGCGCTTGGGATTCTATTGCGCGTGATAGTGTGATGAGAGATGACGATTTGATGACTCGAAACGCGTTTAACGTTTATCGCCTGAGCAGTTCAAGGCATAACCAACGTTGAGTTACAGCCAGCGCTTCAGACGGCTGGCCGATTGCCGCTTGACGCTTCAATATGGTTAGATCAACAGTGACGTTCATCCAAGGGACCCTCCCTGTTCTCGCCTTAGCGCCAGGGATGTGACGTGCTGGCACACATGAGGTGTTCTCATCGTGACCTCTTATCTTGGCATAAACTTGTGTGGGCTTCGCGTATTTTGGTTGTATTTAGTGAGATTAAGTCTTCGGAGAAGGCGTCGAAACAAAGGAGTCAAGAGGGGTAAAGATGTGAACATATGGAAACTAGTGCTGAGAGAGAGTTTTCTGCTTATGAATGATGCTGTTGGCTCGTCGTTACCTTAGTGCTTGTGTTGCATTGAGGTTCAGGGTGACGAATGATAAGGAAGGTGATCTTGATGACTGATAGATAGGAAGGGACGAGGCTACCATGATCAAATTGAGTATGAAAATGTAAGCAATGTTTACATGCATGCACGGAAGGGAAGCAAAGATAATCTGTTATGAGATTAGAATTGTAAAGAATAAGTAACCTCCAGGTCTGTCGAAGCTCTCAAGACATTTGACTTCGCGGGGACTTGGTTTTGGAAAGAACCTACATTAACCACGGCATCTGATTGGACCGCAGTTCGCAAACCGCCACAAACCGCCACAACACCCAAGCCACATGTGGCGCAAGGATGACAGGAAACAACTGTCACCACGAATTCGTGAGGGTTTCATTTCTTCCAGACTATCAAATCGCGACGCCAAGCGTCTGTCGCGCGTCGTTTTCAAGGCATTTCGTATGTTAACTGTATGGTTTACAGTTGGTTTCGCTGTTCTTAGGCTTCCCTCGATGAGCCCAGTAGCTCTCGAGCGCCATTTTCCCTTGGCCAATGTCTCGGAGGCCTAGGCATTGGCTATCTGAGCCAGGAGGCATGATGTTATTGGTCTGGGTGCAGCTCTTGATCTGGGCCTCACTATCATGGACGGCTCAAGCAATGCGGCAGGACCACCTTGTGCGGTTGCGCCAACAAACAGTTGATATGTTCTATCATGGCTTTGGCAACTACATGAAACATGCATTTCCTGAGGATGAGGTTTGTCTGGTGCCGCAGCTGATCAACGCTCAAAGCTGACTGTCTTTTTTTCTACAGCTTCGACCTTTGACGTGCTCGCCCCTGACCCGAGATCGAGAAAATCCCGCCCATATCGGCCTGAACGATGCCCTGGGAAATTACTCCCTTACACTTATTGATAGTCTATCGACACTTGCGATCCTCGCTGGAGGACCCGAAGATGCGTCGGGGACAGGGTCGAAAGCTCTGAGTGATTTCCAAGATGGAATAGCGGATTTTGTGCGATACTATGGCGATGGACGACCAGGTGTTTCGGGCCAGGGCATTCGAGCGACTGGGTTTGACCTCGACAGCAAGGTTCAGGTTTTTGAGACCGTAATACGTGGACTGGGTGGCCTTCTCAGTGCGCATCTTTTTGCCATAGGGGAGCTGCCTATCAGCGGGTATACTGTGCAGCCAGCCTGGGCGACCCAGGCCGATGACCCCCTTGAACTTGCGCCTATAACATGGCCGAATGGTTTCAAATACGATGGCCAACTTTTAAGGCTGGCCCTCGATCTTGGACAAAGACTTCTCCCAGCCTTTTACACAGACACCGGCATTCCATATCCTCGAGTCAATCTTCGACATGGGATTCCTTTCTACACAAACTCGCCCCTCTTTCGTCACATGGAGGGCAAACCTGAGGCTGCTTCGGGGGAGATCACCGAGACTTGCAGTGCCGGCGCTGGAAGTCTTACCCTAGAGTTCACAGTTCTCAGTCGTCTATCAGGAGACGTTCGATTCGAGCAAGCGGCCAAGAGGGCTTTTTGGGCAGTCTGGGGACGAAGGAGTGAAATTGGACTCGTCGGTAACGGTCTGGACGCAGAGGGTGGGCAGTGGATAGGGCCACACGCCGGAATTGGTGCCGGTATGGATAGTTTCTTCGAATATGCTTTGAAGAGCCATATCCTGCTTTCAGGACACGGCATGCCCAACAAATCAACCACTAGCCGACAGAGCAGCACTGAGTGGCTCGATCCCAACGTCCTCCACCCTCCTCTGCCCACTGAGCTACAGACCTCTGAGGCGTTCTTGGATGCATGGCATCAGGCACACGCCTCTGTCAAGCGGTATTTGTACACTGACAGAAGTCATTACCCCTACTACTCGAATAATCATCGCACAACTGGGCAACCATATACTATGTGGATTGATAGCTTGGGTGCCTTCTATCCTGGTCTCTTAGCTATGGCTGGCGAAGTCGATGAAGCCGTAGAGGCAAATCTTGTTTATACTGCTCTCTGGACGCGGTATGCTGCTTTGCCTGAGCGATGGTCTGTCCGCGAAAACACCGTTGATCAGGGGCTCGGTTGGTGGCCAGGCCGTCCCGAGTTCATAGAGTCAACATATTATATATACCGTGCCACACAAGACCCATGGTACTTGCATGTCGGAGAGATGGTTCTTAGAGACATTGAGCGACGATGTCGTGCTCCATGTGGATGGGCTGGTCTTCAAGATGTCAGAACAGGAGAGCTCTCTGACCGCATGGAGAGCTTCTTCCTTGGTGAAACAACAAAGTACATGTACCTCCTCTTCGACCCAGACCATGCTCTCAACAAGGTCGATGCTGCGTTTGTCTTTTCCACAGAGGGTCACCCCCTTATTATACCCAATCGCAGCCGTCAGAAGCCGACTCGGCGGCACTCATTATCGAAACGAGTCGCAACCAAGAACGACACAATTGATGAGGGATTCACGCATTCATGCCCGGTACCTATAGTTCCAGGTCTTTCCGGTTCAGCTACGGCTGCCCGTCCTGACCTTTTCAGTGTCGCACTATTCGTCGACTTGCACAATACTCCCAATGTCCACGGACCCCTTGAAGCCGTAGAAGTCTTCGATCGAAAGAAAGGGCATGTAACGAGATATAGAGCTAAAACCAATCACACAATGTTTCCATGGACGTTACCGCCAACGATGCTGCCACAAGATGGCGTGTGTGCCGCACCCGTCGAGCGCGTCATGACATGGATAGAGTTTCCACCCGGTGACACGGCAAGCTCGCTTGTGTCTCGTTTCGGAACATCTCTCGTGTGGTACAGCCACAACGGACCAACGGTCCGCAACCTTGATGGCATGCGGCTTCAATTGGAACAGCAGAAGGGCGGCAAGGTTGCAGATCGATCATGGAGAATTACACACGCCGCAAGTAGAGAGCTTGGTCGTCACGAGAGTGTCTTCTTTCATGCAGAGCATGTGAGATCTTACAAAGACGATGCATTTACTTGTATTCGACGAAAGGATATCGTTGAGATTGACCTTCTCCTCGATACACTAGAGAAGTCGAATGCCAGTGCCCCGGCACCCGCCCAGGGCGTCAATGTATCCAGTGAGATTCTTCCGAGCCATGCGGCTCTTCCTTCGGAATCACTTCTCAAGTCGCTTCTCCGTGCCGTGAGCTCCGTCTTTGAACCCGCATATACCGATCTCCCGGAGACGGAGACGGATGGTCCCGGCCCCACTATCCTCCGTTGGACGGCTTACACATCTACCGGCCCCGGCGCTTTTCCTCTGCCGCCCATTATCGACACGCCGATGGTCGGGTCACCCAGCTACAACTCCCGCAAGCCCATCGCCAACTTTCCATGGAAAACCGTCTTCCTCGGTGGTGAAGCATGTGGTGCCCCCTTGCCCGAGTCATCGTCTCGCCAACATCAGATAATTGTCATTCGTCGCGGCGGCTGCTCTTTCAGCGAAAAGTTAGAGCGCATACCTAGCTTTCCAGCATCGCCACATACACTACAACTTGTGATTGTCATTGACGATGGCGATGATTCAGAAGAAGGCCCTGATGATATCGTTCGCCCCCTGCTAACTACGGCGCAAGTGACGCCCCGAGGCATGGGGCGGCTCAACGGTGTGCCTCTCGTTCTCATGCGTGGAGCCAAGGGTGATTATGAACGTTTCGGTGAGGCTAAGGGCGTGGGCATGCGGCGCAAGTACGTGGTGGAGAGTCAAGGGATGTTGATAGAGAACGCCATTGTCTTATAACGAACGCATAGAGTTCATATGCATGTCTCGGAGTTATTTTGGTGGCTTTTATCGTCATTTTTGTATATTGCTGTTTTTGATAGCGTACGATACCTTCAGGCTTCGAGGGAAACAGAGGTAGATGTCTCTTTGTATGATACGCTTAACAATCAAAGCCTTGCCTGTAAGCTCAACCTGAGACTTACAAACCTGGCCTACTCATAATCTCGAGAATCATAATCCTAGCTGTAGGTGGTATGATACTCTAGCAAGACACGTAATTATTGTCTCATGATGGCAAAGCAGCCAGAAGATGGGCAGACAAAACTGACATTTATGATTATTAGTTTGCGATCTTTCTTTATATGGCTATATCAAGGTAACCTCCAAAACCCCATTCTATGTGCGCGAACCCGAAAAGACTTTTGCTGTTGTTGAGTCGTGAAAAAGCCATCCACAAAACGCCAACCAATATAGATCTCACTTAGTAAAATAAGTGAATTGCTGTAAAATTTGGTCACTACCGCCGCCAACACTTCAAAAACATAGAGCAGAAACAGACTCTCCAGGTCTAACAAAAATTCTCACAAATGCGCCGCGATGAGGCACACCACAAGTCGATCTATGGCCCGGCATCGCTTTATCGCTGGAAGTGGGATCGAAAATAGAGGAAGCCTGGCATCAGCCGCTTAAGCATCTTCAAGAAGAATCTTGACAGGAGCAGTGCCGAGCTTCTCTTGGCCGTTTAGACCAGGGATCTCAAGAATAAACAAGTATCCAATGACCTCGCCCTTGAGCTGCTGGACGAGTTCAGCTGCAGCCTTTGCAGAACCACCTGATGATTCATGTCAGTTAAGGTCCTATACGCCTCATGCATACTGCTTTGCAGGCAGATTTACTCACCCGTAGCAATGATGTCGTCCACAATGAGGACCTTCTGGCCCTCACGGACGGCGTCTTCCTGCATCTGGAACAGATCCTTGCCGTACTCTTTCACGTACTCAGCGGTAGCACAAGGTCCAGGGAGCTTGCCCTGCTTGCGGACAGCAGCAAAGGAAACACCGAGACGGAGCGCAAGACCAGGGCCGAAGAGAAAGCCACGGGCGTCAAGGCCTACGATAACATCAGGCTTGGTGGGGAAAGCCTCGGCGATCTGAAGTTCGAGAGCATCGACAAGGGTGGCATGGGCGGTTGGGTCGGCGAACAGAGGCATAATATCGACAAAGTTGATACCCGGGATGGGGAAGTCGGGGAAGCTTCGCAGCGACTTGCGCAGGCTTATCTTTGCACCGGAGAGTTCGGAGGAACCGGCGGCGGAGGAGGAGGGCTGTCGTCCCGAGGCATCTTGGCTAGCGACAGCGGTAGACGTGGTGTTGTTTATCGCTGAGGATGAGTTGGTAGAGGGGAGGGGTTCTTGAGCGCTCATTGTGGAGGGAAGAAGAGGGAGGAGAGAGAGAGAGAGGGAAGAGGCAGGGTAGAAGAAGGGGTGGGAGGGTCGGTAAAAAGAAGGAAGGAATAAGGGGAGAAGGAGAAAAGAGACGAGGGATACAGGGCAAGGCAAGTCGGGAAAGGGTGAGCGGAGGCAGTTGCCAGGCACAAGCACTCGAGTGGTTTTTTCCTGGTAGGCACCTCAGGTAAGGAAGGTAGTCGGTGGTCAAGCCGCGTCGGAAGAAGTAGTTACAGTGGTTTAGTGGTAGACGGAAAGAGAGTACGAACGAGGTACGTGCTCCGTCTACGAGAGTTACTTGGCTGATTTAGTATCTGACGGGCAAAACAGTGAGAGGCAGGTACAAGCACAATGGAAGAGTCCAAGGTAATTTTGTTTTGGCTGTGAACCTACCTGCCTACCTACCTACCTAGGACAGGGCTGCCGAGAAAGACGGCGGCGGATGCGCACCATCAATTTCAGTGGCATTGACGATGAGGAAGGAGGGGTGCAACCTAGGCATGCCGCAGGCGTGCGAGGTCTTAGTGGGGGAATGGAGGGCAGGTACGATTGAACGATTGGGAGCGAGGGGGAGGGGAACCCGACAGGGTCCCATTGATTTGGAAGCCTTCCAAGGGGTGCAAATGGAAAATGCAAGGTGGGGGAGGGGAAAATTTTATTAACTTTTTTTTTTCCCTTTCCGAAACTCTCTCAGCGATGGCAGCGATGGATCTCAGCAAAAATTCTGGCCGCTGAGTCGGATACAGAAGCCTTTTGGTGATCAATGCCCAGCGCCAGCGCCCAGGACCCAGCCCAGGGGGCCAAGAAAACTTGGAACAGATGACAAAAAAGACGAAATAGGGCTAGTATTATCTAGTAGGCCTAAAGATTGGTTAATTCTGGCACCTCAGCTTAAGGTCAGAAGTTTTCTTGCTCTATGGGCCCCAGCAGTGCCTAACATGGAGTTAATTGTGGGGGGGGCTCAGATCTGTGGATGGATGTCTGTGACGTGATATCCACCCGTTGCTATCTGTGATAATCGGCACCTCGACTTAGGGGTTGGTTTGTCGGATTGATGTGATAATTGTAAGCATCTCACCAAGCAGGGACAGACGAACAAGTAGACATGGATAGAGTGAGATTTTGGGAGCAGGAGCTGGTTTCCATCGTCATCAACCATGGACAAGCAAGCGGTCAAGCGGGCTTTTTCGGTGTCCAAGCTCCAGGTCAGATATCAACGATTCAAGGTATTAGACTACATGACTCAACAAGCACCAATGGTGCAATTGGATATCGACAAGCAGCCATGTCCGAATGGAGAATGCAAATCATACCAGGCAGCATTGTTTCGAGGAAGTAAGTTCTTGTGTGTTTGCAGCTTGTTCCAGTACGCGCAATCACGTCTGTCGTATAGAATGATAAATAGGTAGCATGAGTAGTACCCCGCCAGCCAGTTGTATCATCATGAAACATTCGTTAGTACCTAGGTATGTATGTCCCGTTGACATAATGGTACAGTACCGCAACGATTGCATGAGAATTCTGATATGCAAAACGCCATTTTCTTACAAACAAATAATGCATACTCCTCGGTTTGCATGCATGATTGCAGTATCAATGTAGCATCAATGCAGTATTAGATGCTAATCGACAACTCGAACCCTTGATCGACACTCTTATTGGATGGTCATCTTTTGTACCTCTATGAGTCAACTTGCCAAATCAGCCTTCATCTTTACGCTGCCGAGCGAACACGAATCTCTGTCGTGATGCGATTCACGAGCGTTTGCCAGCAAGAACTGAGTGACTGGAGTACGATATGTATGTTTTCCACGCGTCTCTTTGTTGCAGACAAAGAGTCTCGGTATCATCAGCTGCGACAAATCGACAAACACAAAAGCTCCGCCGTTGTGTGTTCTGTACATGTCATGGATGCCAGCCAGGTCGTACCATTCAAGTACTTTTTTTACTCAATGGCGGGACCAAGTCCAACTCAATATTAACCGCCACACAATGGACCCCGTTGAATGATGGTTGGTCTGTATTGTTCCTTGTACATCAAATATGTACATTGTTCTTGCTTGCTCGTTGTAAGCATCATGAATACGAGTTTGGCTGTACAAGATCAATATAGTTGTGCCAGGTATTTCTATCAAGTTCCATGCCTTATGCACGCTCACTCGATTGCCTTGATCCATTGTCGTCCCTTGATCCTTTATCCTTGATTGAACAAGACCCTAGCATCCAATTAATTATCTTACCCCAGTATCGGGCCTGCTGCGAGCCTAGCGTCCATTGGAGGGCGCGCTAGAATTCTTCGCTCCAAGCTTACTTCACTGCCTTACCTCCCGCTACCGCATTTCATACCGCCAGCCTCGGATGGACGGGCAATGGCTCCAGATAGAATTTGGCCCAATGCAAACTATGAGCATCCCCGTGGTTTCAGGTCATGCCCTCGGAGCGGCTTCAAGGGAATCTCAACTTCAATTGGGTCTTATATGCGCTGCTGGGTTTATTCCGGCATCCATCTACAGCCACCCGGACATTCACGGGTAGGAAACCCCAGTTAATAACATGACAGCTGAGGCTCGCTATGAAACGAGTCTTTTGACGGAACCTGAAGGAAAGAGACTGAGATACAGTACACCTGTGGAAGCAAAGTCACGTAAGCCCAGCGGAGCTTCGGCCAGCCTTGAGAGTTAACTTTGTGTTGCACATTCTAGACAGGCCCGTATTACCTCCAAGTTGTTTTTCTAGGTCCAGGTTCCCGCAAACGAAATGGATCCTTGCCGTATATTGGCATACATAGTATGAGGTGTTGATTACAGCTTTATACAAGCTCTTTAGGTCTGAACCTAGCATCATCCTCGCTGAACGTACCTCCAAGATGATTCTATAACAAACAATCGAGGCAGATTCAGCCTATTTCTGTTTTAGGAGGGATGAATACTAATGTGGAGGGAGGTTGTTCAACGAACTGCCTCTTTAGGCAATTCTCTCGAACAAAGGATCGAAGCAGCGGCAAGGTTACCGTCGATGGGTGTCTCTGGACACCCTTTCTTCTTCAACTGGTCTAAGGTAGTTTCTTAGTGGCTGCCATGCTTACTCCCGCTTCCATTTGGTGGACAACCCTCAAGGCCGAAGACGAAGCAGCTGTAGCCTGTCCGGGCTGTCATGTCTAACACAAATGTCTCCATGATACGATGTTATCTCAGTACTAAGTTAGTCCATCGTTTTAACCATATCAACCATCACACCACTACCTAGTAATCAGTTCGCTGGAAGTTCTCCAAGGTACATCCGAGAACCACTGTTTCTCGTAGTGATACGTTCCGGAAGCTGTATCATGGAGGTTTCGAAGTTGGCAATTCTACCCGCTTGATTTAACATGCATAACAATGTACGGATACCCAACATACGATCCATGAACGAGTTCCTCCAGAGAAACTTTTAGCTACAACTTATCCACTTGCTCCGCTCAAGTACCGTTGTTCCACTGTGTTTCCGTGGTCAAGACCGGAGGCGGCGCCATAAACCCATGCCAGCCATCGTCCCATAGCGCCTCCAAATGCATGGCTCATGAGAGCTTTGTTTCGCTCATGATCCGTCTCTGGCCGATGATAATCTGTGGAGAAGTATACATATGTATGACAAAAGAATAAGGGCCATGGAGTCTTATTATCTTTTGATCGCATGACTTCTCATTCATGGCGTTCTTAAATGGCCAAACCCGTGTTTCTTAGCAACCCTCTATCAAGCTCTCCCCACGCCCATTCGCTCTTTGTATGTAGCTGTGCCATTCACATTGCTACGCAACGACATCAAGTTTCCTTGCATGGGTTCATATCTACATTGTACCTTAGGCAGACGTTGTTGCATAAGAGGGTCTCGCGACACATGCTATTGTTCTTGTTAAATAAGACGATATCGCAATTCTGCTCCGGTATTCGAACATGACAGAGAGCATCTCGATGAGTCCATTGCGGCCAAACCGAGGGCATTCTAGGCCGGGCTTACTGGCTCGGGTTCGTCAGGCTCCCGAACGACGTTATATCATGCCGAGATAACACAAGTTCAAGGCCTATCAAGGGTTGAAAGACGCTGATCTCGTCTTTATTGCACGACCGAGACCCCGTCTGCCTTTTCAATCATGACTGATCGGTTGCTATCTCTCTCATGCCGATTGTAATGCAACCCCACAGGCCCTGATAGCTGAGACCGTTTCTGTGCCCAATATGGATTCTTGCTGCTGAGGATGAGGCACACTATACGCACTCAGACCAGGCAGATGTCTATCTTGTCAAGCGTAGGTACTACACGACACTACGCTACACCCGCATAAGATAGGACATGGTCCTTTTTTAGCCGGCGACCCATCGAAATAGGACGCATCTTGAGCTCTCTGGCGACATGTAAGACGGTTGAGGATTACCGCTTCAGCTCGCTGCAAGTCACTATCGCGAATCACGAGCTTGTGCCCGACACCACACCAAGCCATTTCAAACCACACCAGCCAGCGCATGTGTTGCGCTGCGATCTCTTCCTTCAGCCCTGATCCCGGCCACCAGGTTCGTTTCCTGAAAAACATGCAGCAATCTTCTGCGTCTTTAATGTAATGCGATGCCATGCGATGTAATGTAATGCGATGCGATGTTCGGCTGCATTCGTGCCGCCCTCTGCATCGACCTGCCTGCCTGCTTTGCTTCTTGTGTCTCTTCTCTTCTCTTCTCTTCTCTTCTCTCTTGACCGTTCCGGAATACATTGCCTTATCGGTATCGCGCAACCATCTGGCGTTGTCTTTGTGGTTGTAGTAGTTCCTTTTTATATGCTGTGCCTCATGCTTCCCCAGCTCTCCACCCAATGTCTTGCATATCCTCCCCTCCAGCATTCGCTGACCGGCTGCCCCTTCATCGCCGCGTCATCAGTTCTCCTTCCTCTGCCATATTGACCGGTTGTTGATATTATTTGAATATCGTACACCGCCGTTTGTTGTACTCATTCACCGAAGAAAAGACTGGCTGGGGCTTGCATTAGCCGCAGGTGCGCGTTTCTGTGTTGGCGCCCTTACGGGCCGCTCGGCGCGAGATTTTGATACAAGCGTCTCCATCTTTCTTGATGGACGATGTCGCCATGGATGGATGTTGATAGAACTGGGTCCGTCGCACCAGTACAACTGTTGTGCAGGCACCAACATAAGCACACAGCCAATCTGAGCTACTCCTTTCGAGACAATACGAGCGATCGGTTTGGGGACAGCCCGACTGCGAGTCAGGCAATTCAAGAGCTGCTGCATCCCGTAGCTACTACAGAGCACATCATGGCCTTTGTTTTGAAAGACAGCAGGCAGTAAGGTAGGCAAGTAACTATCTCAATCTTCAGCATGGGGTTTCAAAAGGGCCACTCTACGGAAGCTGCACCGACCCAATCATGACCCAGGTTTGCTTCTGCCAGATAAACTTTATGAAACACAGGGCACGGGAAATGGTTATTTGAACTCCGTCGCCCAATCATTGTCAGCCTGTAAGTCCTGAAACCATATGGCTGCATAGAAAAGTCGACCTAACGATCTGGAATGGTCGCTATCTCGGTCCACTTCAGAAAGTTACAACTCGGAATTGCTATTAACGGCAATGACTAACGTGTCGGCATACAGTATGTGGTATCTAATGCGTTGTAACAAAGATGAAACGTATCAAAACTCTCTAGAAACGTTCTAATGGGTATCGACTTGGATCAAGAGCACAACTTCCCCAGTCCAAGGCCATCGCAAAGTATGCAAAGAAGTCGCTCCTGTGAAAGACAGCTCAAGACAACGGCTCACAGATTAATAGTGACAAAAACAGAAAAAAGCAAAGCAGAGGCCAAACATCCCAACTCATGTCCATTGAGCGGGTGTGAGTGTCGATGGGTGCACCATCTGAATAGCCGCACCTCTCGGCGACCTTTCTCGGGCCGTTCCGACCCTCTCACTCATCAATCCTTATGAAAAATAGCCCCTGGATTATCGGTCCTCACTCACACCAGACCACAGTAGATCCTTTCTCCACTCATTGAAACTGTAGTCGGATGATGGAAAATAGCATGTTCTGCAGCACGTGCAGCATGACTGCCACACAGGTTGGCATCAACTCTGGCCAGACAGCCAAGTCCAGCTTCCCCTCCAAGCCGACATCAATTTGGAAGAATAGTCGGATGAGTCCCCGCACGGCGAGACTCGCTACCAACTCACACGCCCACGTTACCGATGAGGCGTAGAAAGTGAGACCAAAATTGTAGTCCTCTCCCTCCGTATCGAAAGCGAAATATGGGTAAACGTCTTTGTTGGCTCCGAAGTGCAGTACTAGAATACTTCCAAGGAATGCAACCATTGAGACGTTTTCGGCAAGAAAGCGGATGAAGACATTGCGGGTCTGGAGCTTTTGGTATGAACCAAAGCTTTGCGAGTTCAGCCCAAGAATTGTCAAGAGCTTGTGCACAAAGGAGGTCATCATGATGGGTGTGATGACAACCAGGCCTGTTGATGACAAGATCTGGAGGGTTATGAATTGTTGTGGTGAACGCAGTCGTGCATATAGCGCACGAACGTACATCTGGTAGGTCAACATGAAGTATCTGGCTGTGGTGTCAGCAGTGGAAACAACAGTATTTGCATCGATCGAGGCTTACAGTTTAAAGATCCAGCTCAAAGGATAACTTCCAACACGCTCACCCTCTCGAATTCCTAGCACCCAGCCGCTTAGCGCGTCCAGGAGGTGCACCGTTGCTACCCAGCCATAGACATACACTACTGTCTCCAAGTTATTGTGCGGTAAGGTTCGGAGGTAAATCTCTGCGTATGCCTCTCCGATCACGTATGCCATGAGGCCAATAAACAGAGCAACGCAGAACCATAAGAATCGTACAAAGCTTGCTGGCAACCACAGTCGGCGCATCCTAACGCCCTGTGGCCTCAGCTCGGGTTCAACTTGAGTTGCGTCGGCGTCGAATAGATCAGCCGTGACATTCCGACGCCGGCGGTCCCTACCGTTGAACGTGTCTGGCTCTCCGGTCCACCAGGATGTGGTAAAGATGCGTTGAGTTTCTGATAGCGAGTGACGAAGCCCGATGTGCCGCTCGTTAGTCGTGAGAATGATAAAGGCGATCGTGACAGGCAAGGCCATGATGATGAAGGTCCATGAAATCCATGCTGTGTTGTGTACGAGCAAATAACGCGCCCTGTCATTGTAGTACATGGGTATGGGGACGGCAATGGACAAGATGGCGATGAGTGAGACGGTAAGCGGGAAACCCAGAGATTGGGGCCACCAGTTGAGGCTGTAAAGGTTGAACACCTTTGTGATCCATATAAGAGCAGTAAGGTTGTAGAAACCATAGTAGACGAATAGAAAGAACCAAAAGTTGACCTGGACTCGAGCAGCTCCGTGACCAGGCGTCTTAGATCCGTCGGGGAGTCTATCCTCGTCCCCATCACCGATATGGTCGTCGGGAATTCTATACTGAGGAAAAGGTATAGAACACCACGCCACAGCCTGTTCTTGAGTCAGTTGGTTCTTTGTAGTTTCATGGGAGCTCCAGCACATACCAACAAGGCCGGCATCAACACCAAAAATGCATACCGACTCCACCACTTATCAACGACCCTCTTCACCGCCGACTGTCTCGGATCAACCCAAATATCCAACACCCATCGTTGCCAAAGACGCTGCCACAAGCTCCTATCATCCTCAAGGTCATAATCACTGTCCGTATCGTCATCATCTGCAGGAAAAGCACCGTATCCAAGTATATGCACGCTGCCTCTGTTGTCTGCGGTATTCGAGAAGAGGCCAAGTTGACTGCGCCTTCGAGATACCACGCCAGGACGCGGAGGAACAGCGCGGAAGCGGCCTAGGAGAGGGGCCGAGTCGTTGGGTCGGACGTGCGACTCGGTGCCCTGCGTGAACTGGAAGAAGCTGGGCATGGGATGAAGGGAGGGAGTCGGTGTAATCGAGTTGTGATATCGGGCTACATTGAAAGGCTTCGATTATATATTATGGCGTATTCTGTATAGTAAGTCGATGGATTGCGTCTCGAGTTCTCCAAGGCGCGGTAATTGGATTCGTCGAGTATTAGAAGAATGATTATGGTGAAATGTCGGTATCGTGAATTTGGAAGTTGGTGTTGTTTTGTCCAAGCATTAGATTGGGCTGATGTTGGTCCGTATCTCGGCTGACAATGGTAGGAATAGAACAGGGGTCCAAGTTTCCATCTCCCCTGCTATGATGCGCTACCCGTGTTAGTGGCCATTTCAGGGTCCCTTCAGGTCTTTTTAAAGAACTTGGGGTGGACTTTCAGCTCAGATTCTCTTTCATAAAATCCATATCTTTTTATATCTTTTCATCAAGTGACTCCTTAATCAAGAGTTTCCTTTGCTTTCCTAGCGCATAAGTCTACGTTTCCGAGGGCTTCGAGGCAGTAAATGCAGTCAAGGGTAGCAACGACTACTACACCCTTTATCGGTGGCACTATGAGTGGGAGAACTGGGTAGTGAGAAATGGAAGCAAGTAGAACAACAACGCCTTCGCTGCGCTTGATATTACAAAATATAGCTATCCATACATGTTCATTAACGCCGCAGATCAACGCCTCCCATAACCCCTCACTCTGAGGTTGTGCTCAGACTCTCCACGAACGATTCATCATCCTCCTGCTCATCTACAAGCACACCCCCAGTAATATCATCTGAGAAAGCCACCGTCTTGGCCGAGGCATGCTTTGTAGACGGCTCAAGCAAGTCACCACTCCAAGGCTTGCATTCTTTGACATGCTCACCGCAACGCAGACAGGTCCAGCCCTCGCCCTCTTCTCTCTCCAATCGAGTGGCCAAGCAGACGAAACAGTATACACACCCACAAGGTATTGTCTCATATGGGTTGGTTATGTCTGTCTGGGCTGAGCCAATAACACCAGTGGATGCTGCTACTGCCATCACTTCGTTCTCAGAAGTTGCCGTATTCTGGTCCTGGTAGCAAATTGCGCATGTTCTTTCAGGGAGGAACGCGTATTCACCATTGGCCTTGCCCTCTTCCTGAGGCCCCGTTCTGATAATGTCTTTTGTTTTCCGCCATGTCCTGGTCAGCCAGCGTCGCCATCGCTGGATGCCAATTAGGGGTAGTACGAAAAGCAAAAACTCGGTGAAGGCATGCCAAACAAGCTGCCTGTTGAGATACTCGAATGAGACCTCTCTGCTTACTTGGCTTGTGGGTGGCGCAAGTCTCATTCTGAGAATTCTATCGAGGAGGGTTCGGTACCGTCCATGCAATAAGAAGACTAGAAATGAGACACATGCCGCTGCCGAGTGAACAGTTGAGAGGGCAGATGTCAATTTCGATAGTCGCTTTACTCGGGGACTTGGCTCGTCGTAACCATCGTCATGCTCCAGAAGCCAGTCCTCCCATCTCGTCCAAGCATAGTTTCCAAATACTGTGACAAGTCCATAGAGTGATTTCTGCACCTTTGAGGGTGCTTTGAGTATAAGCCCATCGTTTCTGGCGTCAGTATATTTGAGGTTTTGGAGAGCCGCTCCGTATGTGGCATCGTGGTCCCAGACAGTGAGCTTGAAAAGCACCGCCCTCAGAACCAACATAATCTCGGCTGACCAGTCATCATGCAGATGCCCTCCACCAAAATATTTGAGACCCTCGCAAACCTGGTCCTTGAGAATGTCCAAGAGCTCTACATCGAGCAGTTCGGCATCGACTTGTCCTACTCGAAATGCAGGGCGCGTGCCCTCCCTTGTCGACACAGCATCCCACGCAGATCCTATGCGATTCAGGGGGTAAGGTAAGCGCTCGAGGTTGGCTCTAGGTCGAGAAGATTGCCGCTGTGCAGCGATGCGAGCAGCAGCTTCGGCCTCACGGGTTTGGCGACGCGCAGCGACGCGGCGTTGGGCTTGGACGAAGCTCGAGTCGGTCATTTGACCTGGCGCATGCACATGAGGATGAGGGCGTTGGTTGAGTTTCGGGTATTTGATTGGGAGTCTATCGGTCGATTTGGTGGTGGGTTGATCCGGTTACAGCTGGGTAGAGCGAGCATTCGTTTGTTGCAGGTGATAAAAGCAAAAAGGAAGCACGCAGTTCATTCAGCTCGTCTCGGCGCATCGCATTGGATCTCATCTGGGGATTGTGCGGGCCCATGCTAAAATCCCCCCATGACGCCAGGGCCGGGGTTGTTGAGCAGAAGCCGAGCCGAGGTGTTACAGTGCCTAGGCCTTATCGGCTACTTACCATACCGTGCGTGCATGTTCCTCCCTTGTGCCTCCCGTCTCTCTGCCCAGGCCGATAGGTACCTGCTCGTAAAAGAGTAGAGGACGGGACTTTTTATTTTCACGCGCTTGTCTTACTCCTTGCTCATTGAGACTTGCTTTGGCGCTTGTTTCCACTCTTCAGAGAGCGAGACAACTTCTGAGCTTGCGGCGAGTTGCCAAAACTAACTAGCCTAAGGTCTCCTGAATTTATACTGAATTTACCGAAGTCTTTTTGCTGGCTTGGATTCCTACCTACCTACTCCGTACCTTACGTACTAACCTTAGTACCTTAGCCACTGTGCCGTCTGGGGCCGGGTCATAAGCCGGGACCCTCTCTTTCCCCCCTTGCTCCAATGAGGAGAGGGTGCCATAGCTCGAATGGCAGTTACACAGAACTTGAGATGGCAAGTGCGGCTCAACTCGTCCCAAACCGTCTCCAAACTTCTGTGCCTCCGGAAAGCACATTTCCTCCAACAAACTTTGGCCGATTCCATCAAATCATGGAACTCGGAGACACTTCGTTCTTAGAGCATCACAAATCGTCGATAAACCAAACGTTAAGCAGGCTCTGAGAAAGATAAGCCACACTTACTTGGCAGTTTTCAGCTATGGACGTACCTATGTTTGAGGCTTGACCAGCGACCAGCAATCAATGGCGCTATGATATCTCCGATAGCCCTGTATGCAGCCAGTATGTCCCAGACACCTGGGAGCTGGGACTGACGACTAGCTGCATGGGCACTGTGTTACACAGAGTTCCTTTGGAAAAGGCAATTTTTATATTGGCTGTGCTGCAGTTGCATCTGCATCACGACTCTTTTGATGACTTCTTACACGTCAGAAACGTGAATCCTCCAGCCGGCGACCAAGCATCTCCTCCTCTGTGGATACCATTCAAACAATCAGAGCTCGAGTTGCTAGCTGATGAGACAGTGGCTGCTCTTAGTGACTATGTATATTGTCTACTGTCTTAAGAGAGACGGGAGCTTTGAAAGGCCCGCTCCGAGCGGCGATTCAAGAGCTATCCAACAGTATAGACTAGCCTGCTTTTGCTGGTTAGACTTCACTTTAACGACAACCCTTCAACGCATAATCGAACAACACGCGTACGCCGTCTGCTATGTCTCTGTGAAAATCCCCGAGTGCTAGAAGTACCAGCAACCCGGTTCTCGTGCGAGGGTTGCCATCATCGAGTCGGGAGCGGCCCATTCTTGGCCCCTCTTCACTCTCTTGATTTGCGAACCTAACAACGTGAGACCAATAACATGGTCACTTGAGTCACAGCTGTCATAACTACCAATGGATAATGGCCGAAATGGAGATGCAGGCGGCCGTTTTCCGACAGATCTTCCCTCTACCTGGTCCTTGACTGGGAACATATATCCACGCCACATACCTCCCTGGGCCAACATGACTGGAGGAGTCAGGTATTGCAACATGGTTCTGAGATTCGAATCTAACTCAACTACCCACCTCTTCCAATCATGATGCGTTGGATCATTTGCTTTTGTTTAAGCCTGACGACCATCTTCTCTGCCCTACGCCTCCACCACGTTGCACCTGTACCATGTATTTGTATTGAACTCGTAGTTCCATCCACCTCTTCCCATTTCTAATTCCTTACTATGCGTGCATATATTCCATGGCTCCGGCACTTGCCACAAAACCTGTTCAACCTGTTGCTTCTTGACAAGCAAGCTTAGTTTGGTGCCACAACACATCCTTTATAGATTCTAGCCTACCTATTAGGCCCTACCGTTGGTGTTTGCCAACCAAGCGAAACTTTACGGTGTCTTGAGATCTCCTTTCGCCATCACTTGCAAGGCCAGGTTCGTCGATCAAACTATGGCAAGTTCACCACGAGGCGAAGTTTCACATGGGGTTGAACTCAACTCGAGTCAGAAACAAGTTAGTACGGGAACCTCAAAACCCCAGAAGCGTGTCTCTTCAGCTTGCGATCCTTGCCGTTCTAAGCATATAAGGTGCGATGGAGTCCGGGAGACATGCACTCGATGCAAAGAAGAAGGCAAACTGTGTCATTATACCAAGTCACGTCGAGGGTTCCGAAACACAAAGAAGACAAGTATGAAGAAAGGAGAAGCTTTGGTGAACGATCAAAATGACACTGCAGAGAGCAAACCATCGCCAGGCCTTGCTAGGCCCGGCATTCCGTTCCTCCAAATGATACCTTCCACACCTTGCAGTACTATACATCCATTCGACCTCTACTACACCAACTTTCACGTCGCCCACTCTTGGCTACCCCCAAGAAAGAAACTGGAGGATCTCTGCAAAACGCAACCAGAAAACTTGCGTTTCCTCATTGCCACAGTTACCTACATTGGGTCTCTTTACTTGGACAAGGTCGACAACACACAGCTACAACAGAATGCCTACCAGATGTCGCATGGCGCCCTCTCTTTAACAATCTGGTCTGTTCAGGCACTGCTGTGTCTTTCTGTCACAGCGTTCGGGAAACTGCATGTTAATGTTGGCCAAAGTATGTTCAACAAAGCCTGGGCGCTGGCTTCTTCTATGGGACTTCAGAGCAAGGAGTTTGCGGAGGGAGAGACAGATCCAGTCCTCGCTGAATCATGTCGCCGGACATACTGGGGATTATATACCCACGAGATGTTGCTTGGTTTGCGACAGACTCAGTCTCATTCAACACTCTGCCCTCGTGGGCCCAGTTTGGTGGTAGGACTTCCATGTGAGGATTGGGACTACCAGACCGGTGTGCGTGTTTCTCGTTCGAGGTAGCCACTTCACGCTGACTTTCCATTAGAATATTCCAGCCCCAATAACTCTTGAAGAGTACGATCGCCTCGGCCTCTCTCGCGAGTACTCTTCTTGGGCCTACTTCGTTGATCTTATTCGCATATACGATATTCATGTGGCCCCGTTTCTTCATGATTGTAGTCAGGCAGCCCGGCACAACCTCAAGTATGCAAGTCAGCGTATCGATTCCTGGCGATTTAGAATCAACGACTGGAAGAAATATCACGTTGGGGAAGATGGTATGTTTGATATGATCCTATATCATGCGGTAAGTTCTTTGACTTGTTCAGGAGCTAGTTCGGCTACTCACAGTTTATCTTGCAGTTAGTTGTCTCCTTTGGGTAAGTCAAATCTCCTTAGAAAGTCGTTTTCAGAAGGCTAAATCTCTCCAAAGACTCGAGATCCGGATGCAGGCCCATCTCTACGGGCACTGGGATGAACATTACGCGGCTTCATTACTTCACAGTGCTGCTACAGAACACGACGCTCAGTCGCCACTGGCTCTCCAAGCACCGTTGCGTCTGATGGCTCTTCTTGGCTCTCAGCTTGTACCAGAGAAGTTCTCCCCTTCATGCCTACTTGATCTGGAACAAGCAGCCTCGCCTTTGTGTCATGCTGTGCTCCACGGTGCAGGGCAGCCAGATTACATATCCAGGGTTTTGTATCTGGCAGAGTTCCTGAAAAAGTCTGGGGAATTTTGGCCCAGGTCGAAGGTGTTGTCTGACATTTTCATGGAGACACTGGGCAGAGGTGGTCATGAGCATGTGTATATGGAACTTTCTCAAGCTATATCGGCGTTTGGTGATAGACCTACGTCTACAGCCGAAGGAGATTCTCTCTGGCTCAGGTCGCCCACATTAGAGCATATGGGTGGTTGGTCGGGGCTGCCATCATACTCGCTACAATGTGAGCCAGAGACGAGAGACGTGGCTTGGGTAGGAAATCTAACTCAAGCTCCTGGCGAAGATATGACAGCCCCGGATATATCAGCCGAAACAGGAAGTTCAGTACCGAATATTTACATGGAAGCAGGGTGTTTTGGTGACAAGCCGACGGGAGGATTAGTTCCTGTGAAAGTAGAGAAGTGACGACAATGTGTCCTTGGTTGGATGTAAATAACTAGATAATAGTTTGACCTGCTCTGGAGGAGAAATGCTAGTGAATTTAACCCGGATTCCTAAGTTGCGTTCAAATTGATGACACAAAAGAGATATGGTCGAGAAATGGAAGGTCGGTTTACGTTTAAATACTTGCTGGGTCAATTTTGTCTACGGGGCTCGAATACCTAGATATTTTTGAGATCAATTGGCAATATTGTAGCTTCTGAAAACTGTAAACTTGACCATTGAGGAAAATTCGGTAATATCCATGAATACCTTGGTAAGTTGACAGCTGGAAAGAAGTTGGTGTTGGTTATTCTTTTATTGACGAATTATTAAGATGGTGACCGTTGATACCCTAGACTTAAACTACTAAAATTGGCCACGAGGTCTCGGTCAGCCTCTATATGTCCCCACTATTGACCGGCGCTAGGTAGGCAGCGCGGCAAGGGTCGGCAGCATAGATACTTGGTGATAAGATAGAAGCTAGTAGTCTTCAGGTATCGATTGATCAGTAAAGGCCACAACAAACCGCGGACTGTAATTTATATTAAATATACCTGATATTAAATATAGAGTTAATTGAACTCAGAAGCTGAGTTATAGGTAGTGTAATAAATATCAAACTTCAGTATCATCTACCTTTCCTTCCATCCTCACCTCAGTGTCCTGTCCTTCCCCGCAGGTACCTTATGACTTGGTGGGTACCTAGGCCATGTAGGTCCATTTGCCGCCTCGCCAACAATACCTGGCTCTTACATCATTTATAAAGACAACAACCTAACTACATCAACCTCATTTTGACGCCCATTCACGATCTGGAACATCAAGCGCACTCCCGTCGATAATCACCGTGAATGATCATCACAACTGCCGATGACTCACCGCTCCTGAAACTTCCACCTGCCCACGCTAAGGGCGCCGCCAGTCAGCGCTTCACGATCTAACTTGGCGCATATTGTTATCTCACATTCTACACTATAAATACGGCACTTTTACCATACATCCCGCTTATCTGATGCGACCGGACGTCGAGTTCGTATACTTCTTGGACTGAGGTGACGTGACCTTAACGTCTGCTCGTCTGCGACTCTGCCATACTCGGGCGCCGAAGGTGAACAACATGGGATCTTCGCGCCAGCGTGAGCTTCGACCCGAGGACTCCTGGCGCTTTGTTGAAGGGGAGAACGACAGTTTCGACACAAGTATCCTCCCATCGCTTGGGGAATCATCACCACCTACATCCTCAGGCAACGTCCCCTCACAACCGTTTTCCCAAGGAAATCTTAGCTTCGCATCGCAGGACAGCATTCGCGACTTTGGGGCAGACCCAGACGACGAGCAGGTAATTCTACGAGAGCCGTTCAGGCCGAGTCTTTCGCGCGCAAGTGTGAGCGCAAGCGGAGAGCGAGTCTTTCGATCACCCGATCCAGAATTTCACATGCCGCGCATCGATACTGCGAGTGAGAGCAGTAGTAGGAGTGAGCGCACGATAAGAGGACTGGGAATAGGATATGGCGGCAATGAAGGTGTGAGGAGAAGAGGGAATCCACTACCTTCGAGTCCCCCCAAGCAGAGGAATGCGCGCGCAAGATATGAGACCGAGGATGAATATCATCGCCGCCAATACCGCGAACAGCCACCGCCAACAGTTGGAAATCAAATCGCTCAAAGCGTCCCAGCGGCGATATACAACACACTTGGATGGTTTCTCAACGTTATCGGGCTAGCATTCCGCTACGCTCAGAAACCTTTTGCGATTCTACTGGCTATCTACCTTTGCTTTGGTGGTCTTATTATTGCACAGAACATGGCAACTCGCTCTATCGCCGCATCCCTATCTCCTCTTTGCCGTATTCCGGGCGCATCGCTACTGAATCTTCCGTTCTGTCCTTCTCTGGATACGATAGTACCTGCTGGAGGTGATGGATCGCCCGTTGAGTTCGATGACCTCATGAATGTGCAGTCAAAGTTCGAGCAAGTTCTTGAAAAGAGCTCTGATGGTGTCTCACTCCCATTCGAGATGAAAAGATCCGAAACGGCCATCCGAGATTTACGCAGCCTTGTGCGACACAGCGATCTACAAGCTCGCGATGAGTTGCTGTTTGAGTTCGACGGTTACATCGACACGGCGAGGCAGACATCTTCGGACTTGCAGAAGTTCAACACCCATGTTGGCTCTGCTGTTGATGCTGTCATAAGCATCAATCGCTGGACATCTCGTTATCTCGATACTCTATCCCCAGAAACAGACGATGGGAAGTCGATTTCCTCACCTTCACCTATTCTTGGCTGGGCGTCGTGGCTCTTTCATCCATTCCAGCCAACTACAGATCATATTTTCAACGAGCGAGTTCTCCTAGACAAGTATATTGAACATACGGCTCTTGTCTCGGATCGTATCGCGACCCTTATCCTTGAAGCGCAGGCCGTTCTGCGCCTGCTTACAAAAGCCGAGGATCATCTGATGCTCATCTACGACATCAGTTCTCGCTCCTCTGCCGATACAGCATCTCGTCGTGAAAACGTCCTCTGGAATATCTGGACACTTGTCGGTGCAAACTCGAACCAACTCAATAGCCTCTCCCGCCAACTGGCTCTTCTGCGCCAGGTTGACGCACAGCGCTCTTCAGCAGTTGCGCAGGTCAACGCGCTTATCCTCGAACTCGAGAGCATTCAAGCCGGTCTCGGCGATTTGCGTGACCGTGTCGCTGAGCCTGAGGTGCTCCGCAATGGTATTGGTAGTGGACCCCCAATCCCCCTGAGCGTGCATATTGAGACTATTGATCGAGGCGTCGAACGTCTGGAGGATGCAAGAAGCAGGATTCGTGCTGCCGAGAATGATCGCGTTCGAGATGCACTTGCTAGAGGCGGAGTCCGTAATGACCCGTTGCTGGAGGGTAAAGGAAAGCGTGGTGAAGGGAATTGAACGGTGCACTATGACCATAAATCAGAACCTAGGAACTTTGGATCATTGGACTTGGATTATGTTTGGCGTTTGGAGCGTACCTAGAGCGAGAAATATGGACGATTCGACCCCTCATATATATGTATTGGTGCATGCAGGGGAATGGCTACTACTTGGAAACACACGATAGTCTGCTCTACAATATAAAAATGTTGGTTATTTAATAGTGCTCTTCGTTTTGTTTCATATCGTGATTGTATATTGCTTGGGTATATGCTTTATTGATGCATATTGTGAACAACACAGGTAATTAGATGGGATGCCATTGCTAGCCCACTGCTCTGCACCTCCTACCGTCTCAACGAGACCCTGTATATACAATTCTCGTAAATCCAACCAACGCCTCATTAAATGCCTTTCCAATGCACCAATGCACCCGAAAAAAAAGTCGTATAATCAATGGCCTTACCAGATCGGCCAAGATCCCAAAACCCTGCCCATCACATGAACGCCTGACCTATGCTGCCCCATCAAATGCAAGAGATGATTTCTGACCATGATATTTATCAAAGCAGAATTAGAAATAGCCTGGGAAAACTTTTGAGAGTGCTCGTAGCCCTGTGATCACGTTAGTGTATGCTTTTACGTCCATTTAGATGCACGACTTACATATCGCCCTTTGAGAGTCCGGATCGTCGAAAGGCGCGTTCTTGGCTGCAATTTCACGCATGCGTTGTCGAGCAAACGAAGAAGGACTTCCACGTCTTGGCGTTGGATCCGTATTCAACTCGGAATTCTCTGGCTGTGTTGGGAGCATATTCAAAAGTCGAGGTCTAGGTCTCCTTGTCTTCGGAATCTGGGCTGGAGCTGGTGGGCGGGCGTTTGCTTCTGCTTCTGGCTCTAGTTCTTGGGATTGTGCGGGGGTGGACGATGCTGGTGGCGATTCTACTCGTTCCTCATCATTTGTTGCTGTATTGGTAGCAGGTTGTCGTCTGAAGTTAGGTAGCTTCAAATTAACAAGTGGCGATGAGGACGGCCGTGAAGGTGACGGTGAGGTTCGGAATAGTCGTTTACTCCAGTCTTTCATCGTTGTGTTATCACCTTCCTCAGACAAATCCTCGAGGTCGACTCTTTGACGTAATTTTCTCAGAGCACGTTCTCGACGCACCATTCCGTTCGTGATCCTTGGGCTGTAGCCTCTGGGCAGCATCGAATGCTTGCACATAGGACAGAGAGAACTGTTCTTCGACAAAAACTCGTCGATACATTCGGGATGGAATATGTGACCGCAAGGAAGCTCCCGAATGATTGTGACTCGGTGTTCGAAATTGGTGAGGCAGATGTGACAACTAGGTTGGAAATTAGTAGCAGCGTTGTCGCCCGAGGCTCCGATGTTGGATCTTTTGCTCCGGACACTGGCACCGGATCGTACGCTGCGCTGATCGAATCCTCGGCTACTTCGCATGCGTCGTGTAGAAGATGGGGTAGGGGGAGGCGCTGTCGAGTCCGGGTCCGCGTTGTAAGTAAATAGAGGAAAGCTGGTGATATGGGTAGCAGGTACTGTCAGGCGTTTAATTCCCATGGCTTCAAGATCGACTTCGCCAGATTCAACTCTTTTTCGAAGTGATATACGTCGTCTTCGCTGAACAAGGTGCATTGTTATCGAGACGAATGCAAATATGGCAAGCAAGGCACCAATCACTATGAGGAAGAACGCCCATAGCGGTGGAATATCAGACTCGTCCTGAACGCTGAGTTCGGTCCAGATACGGACATAATCCTTCGGGTTCGGGCCATATAGTGTGCTGATATTTTCGCCGTAAGGTATGTCGTCCACGCTGCCTGAATAGTAACTGAGTTGTCGCATCATATTCTGGCCTTCTTGACCAGAAATAGCGTAAATCGGATATTTGTTGACGGTCATCCAGGCTCCACCATCTTCCAGATTCCAAACAGGCGAGTCCGCATCTTGCGGTTGATTTGACGAGTTGTTAGGTTTGTAAAAGATGAAAGCGCGAATGGGGTCGAGACGCGCAGAAGCAAGGTAGGCTAGGGTACAGTCGATGCTGAACCACGGCGCAAGAGCGATGAGGTTGTAATTGGTAGGAGGGAGGTTATCTCGGCGCGTGACATTTCGAGGAATAAACTGGTATTGTTGCTGGTCGCACTCACGATCGTTGTCGAGGTCGGGGACGTAGAGAAGGCCGGTGATAAGGCCATTAGACGAGTCGGCATTTGTGGAGGTTAGTGTGGTGATGTTCGTGGAAATCCTCTCCTTATATGCTATGTCGGACTGTTTGTGTGGTCAGTTAATGCTAGGCGAGTCTTGTAGTTGCCTCGTCGCAACAGAATGAAGTGGATCAACGCACCGAAAGAGCCGTGAGGTTTCGGATGATTGTCGACGGGACCGTACTGGCGCCGCTCCATACTGGGTTACTGAATAGGAGGCTGATAAAATTGGTTAGCAATGTTCACAGCTTTTGATCAAGAAAGGCGAGTGTCGTCGTCTGATCGAAGGGTCGTAGGCGATGTCGTGTGGTTTGCCGAGTTGGTGCAAGCGGGGAGTCGAGAGCGGCGTAGTCGTTATGTCACGCCAGCGACAATGATGAGAATAACGGCCACAAGAATACAACGACATTGCAGGTAAAGAGACATAATGGATGGAGTAAAGACATACACGACATTTCGTATCTCGGTGAGCGCTGGACGATTTGATGTCAGTTCGTGGGATGCCAAGACTGGGGTATGATGTGAGGTTCTTGGCCTCGAACCCGCGGACGCGGATGAGCAGGAACGGAACGGAAAGGGACAGACGCCCTTCGGGGAGAACGGGTAGGATCAATGAGGAATGAATTAATGGCCATGTAGTGCAAGACGAGACGGAGAGAGGAAATAAGAGGTTATGACAAAGGTTGGTTGAACAGAGAGTGAGATAACTTACACATGCTTCTAAAACATATTCAATCATGGAATCGTAGGCATTATATGGCGTGCACCAAAGGCGCAAAAATCCAAGTGACGACCCAGGGTGACAGTGAGGATTCGATGATGAGTTATCTGGTGTACCTAGGCGAGTTTGTGAGGACGAAGTGACGTTTGGAGGAGTCTGGTGAAAATTGGAATTGAGACTTGAAACTGAGTATGAGAATGAGTAAAAAAAGTAAGAGCAAACGAGTTGGCGTTCCTGGGGGGGGAGAAAGAGCGAGAGAATCAAGCGAGAGTAGGTAAGTAAGGTGGACTTGACTTGACCTGGACTTGGGTTTGGGAAACCAGGACGGAGGGTGGAAATGGGCCGGACGCTGATTGTGGCTGCCGCCGCTGGGGTGAGGAAGAACAGAAGGACAAGCCAGGGAAAGAAGCAAGAGGCAGGCAGGCACGGGAGGGAGCGGATGTGGATGGATAAGGTGGAGAAGGGGAAGGAGAGGCAATACGAAAGGGAGAAAGCGCGAGTGAGTGTTTTTGGGGGGTGACGAACTGAAGTGCAGTGAACCTACCTGCCTGGGCTGTCCTGTCCTGTCTCCTGCCTCCTGCTGAGCCGCGAAAAGGGAGGGGGAGTCCTGAACTGGGAAACTGGATTCGATGAATGGCAGGGCAGGCAGGGTTGGGGGTGGAGAGAGTGGTTTGAGCGATTGAGTGAATTTGGGCAGTTTCGTTGGTGGCGCGTTTCGGTTTTCGGAGTGTGACGATGGAACAAGGGTGTGAGGGTATAAGACAATTTTATGCAGGGACTGTTATCGAAGAGATATGAATCAACTACGTTCAAGAGCAAAAGAATCGAGAGGAATTAATAATTGACAGAATCAGGACTCCATGGCAAAATAGTGATACCAAAGCGAGACGATGTGATCCGGCAGAAATGACGAGTCGGTCCAGGCACGTACATAAAAGCCCGATTCGAGACCCAACTCTAAAGGTGCGAAAAGTGTCGGGGGCCACGATGCAAATCGACCAAATCAAAAGAGAGCTACAGGAACAGCTACAGCTACGTTGAGCTAGCTCTGTTTTAGGTGCAGGAACAAGAGCAACAGAAGGAAAAGAAGTCAAAGCGATGGCTGATGCCAAGCCGGCTATCTCTTGACGACCCGAGCATTTGGGAAACAGGAAAATCAAGAGATTCGTCGTTATTTTTTTTTTTTTTTTTTGATCTGGTATGTAGCTGTCTCTGATAATCTCATTGACTTTTGAGGGGTGACCAATTAGACAGCCCACCTCATATTTTGGCTCGGACTTTAAGACCAGATGGATGCTTGTAAAAGCCCGAGTCGGGAATAATAACGGAGTTGGCCAGGTCCAGGTGAGTTAGAGCAAGCCAATGTCTCAGTTTTCGAAATTCCAGTTGGTGTTATTGATATCAGACGAGTGTGAGAGTAGCAAACAGTCTAGAATAACCTAACAGAGCAATCTGCATTAGTGGTACAACAAAGCTTATGCTCTCCATCTCCATCAATCACAGCAACTTGCCTCAGAATAGGAAAGGATAGAAAAGGATAAGATCAGGCAGTCAAGATTTGTCCCGTCCGCTTCCCCACAAACCAAAAGCTTGTTGGTCAAGACTTGAACGTATTGGGATACTTGACCCGCAGTTGTAATCCTTGAATGTCCCTTTTTTATCTCTCACCACCAAGGACATGGATGTTTTACCGTATCACTCGGACGCAACCCGTGTAGATATGCAGGCTGAAAGAGTTTTCACCATCACCTCGTGGTCCTTACAGAGTTAAGACACAAGGGAGGTGCCGTGAGCTTAACTGTAACGGTAACAGTTGAATAGTCAATTGATGTAGCTTAGTACGACGCCGAGTTTCAAACATAGTATTTACCAGTCAATCAATGGACTCTCCAGAGATAGAAAGCAGTTCGTCACCGAGTTTACATGACTCGTCGAAGCTTTCAGAGCACATCCCGAATACTACATTCGAAAGAATTCGAGGTTCGAAGTCTGTGGCCTGACGAAACGGTTCGGATCTAACCTAACATAACCTTGTACCCAGCCAAGCTTCTGTGACCAAAGCTTGTCTTCC